CAAGGTGAATTTTAATTGTATGCAAATGAGCGGGAAAAAAACACGAAATACTATAGATTGCGCTTATTTTGGATGTTATATGTAAGCCATAAATTACGTCTAGTTTACGTGCTTTAGAAATGTATTCTAAAGCGCACAAATTATGGTCGTCTCGGTGGCGAAATGTTAACTACCTCGCCTAGTATACAGGAGGTCGTAGGTTTGAATCCCGACCCTGACGCTTGCATATTTGGAGTTTGCATGTCTCTCTCCCCGTGGCCACGTGTATTTTTGTCCGAGTCCTCCGGTGTTTCCCTCCACATTTAGAAACACGCGTTTAGAGTATTTGGCTGATACAAATGTCTACATAAGCCACTTCGTTGAGCTATCATTTGTGACCAGGTCACTTCTGAAAAATAGCAATATCGCTCAGTGGGCCTGACCTGGTAAAATGTAAAAAAATAATTTCGATTTAAAGCTTTCGTGACTGCAGGGATTCATATTCTTGGTTCTTTCGGTAAAGTCACGTAGAAGGGAAATAATAAAATATATAGTTTTATTTTTATTATTTCCTTTCTACGTGACTTTACCGAAAGAACCAAGAATATGTAAAAAAATAGTTTAGTTTAAAATATAATATTTGACAAATTCCATTCGTGGCACAATCTTTGCTATTAGACATTGATTACAGCCGGATCATAATGATTAACTATCTTGGTCAATACAAATGGTCATAAGCATTGCTACTTTTTAGGCTACAGTTTTCCTCGGGTTTTTAAAAATACATTTTGCCGGATGAACACGCCAAAGTGTACAAACATCATCTGGCTCGACACTAACGAGAAAAATAGTTTCACTCTGCCAAGTTTTCATCTCTAGAATTAGTCCATGAGCCAGAGCAGAAACTGGTACCACCTAAGAAAGCAACATTCTCGACGTACAATTTTATTTATAGGCTAATAACAGTGAATTATTTAATAACCCACTCATTTCAAATGGTAAGCACATACTTTGTTTTTGGCCACATTCAGAGATTGGAACCGCGAAAGTTATACTACCTCTTTTCTGGGCTCACGGACGAATTAACAAAGAGAGTTAACAAACGTGGGGCTAAATTTTGATTTAAAGCTTTCGTGACTCCAGTAATTCATATTCTTAGCTTTTTCGGTAAAGTCACGTTGAAGGGAAAGAGCTAAGAATATAATAAAAACGTGGGGCTGCCAAACGGGAAATGGGACCATGCTGAAATGTTTTTTTCTTTCCCGTATGGACAGTGAGATGGAGTGCAGTAGTATGAGGCCACAGTGACATTTTCAGCATGGAAGTGCCAGCAGTGGATTTTGGAATAGGTGATGATAGTGATGACGATTATTATGATGTTAAAGTCAAATGCCCAAATAAGTATTGAGACATTGGGTGCCGTTAACAGCTCCGAGTCAGTGGTGAAAAGTCCCCATTGTTGACTTCCCCTCCAAGTTTGTATTGTTCCTGGAGGGATAATGGGCCGAGTCAAGCCCCTAACCAGGATTTGAACTTGTAACGTTCCGATCCCCTGCAGCTGAGCAACTAGGCCGTCCGTGGACGACGATGACAATGGTGACAGCTGCTGTGCTCGGGCGAGGTACGGGGTTGTATTCAAGGCACGCGCGCCTGGTGAGAGACACGGAAGGCGCACGCGCGTCGGCCAGTCACGTGGAACCCACGCGATCCCCACCCGCGCGGCGCGCACGGAATCATCTCGCCAATGGCAAGTCCGGCGATGACAATTTGGGGAATGTCCTGCCTTGCTCCCCGAACCCAGCTGCCAATCCACCGGGAGGACGTTAAGACGTTGTCGCGTTTACCAACTCCGCACAGACAGGTCGGGTAACCCCCCCCCACCACCACCGCCCTACCCCCGAGACAATTAAAACCCGAGCCCCATACTCCCAAAGCTCACTGGTCGCACGCCCCCTCGCCGCAGACTGTCGGAATGTGATTCTCACAGGCACTACGCGGCGTCACACGCATGATATACATGTGACACACACACACACGCATGATATACACATGACACACACGCATGGTCACACGCGTCGTTAAAGGTTTCCACCGACCGCGACGTTGTGCATCGTGCGTACCGCATACCAACCACCCTCATGCACAAAAATGCATCAACGTCCATGAAAGGTGTGACATCACATTCGTCAAGCTAAGGTCAGCCGCATAACGAACGCCGGAGACCGCGTGTTGAAATGATCAACTGTTCCATTTGACGCGCGCAAATTGCACGCGGTAAATTTTTTATTTCACAATTATTTGGGTCTGGATTTTTTCGTACAAATACACTGGAAGCTGCAGTGTAATCCTGTGTATTACTATTTAAGCGTATTTATGCATTCATAAATAACCATGGCATTTTTGTTAATTAAAATTGTTTACAAATACGAAAATGTATGAGATACACTACATTTTATACGATTCGCAATCGATTTAGGTTCGTCGTTAACGTCAGCTGACAATGGGCAGTGCCAACTCTGGGACAATATCAGAGAGAGCGCCTTCAGAATAAAAAAAATGGTCTGGCAAAACCACGCAAACATTTCCATTAAAATAAATGTACATTGAAGAAATAAAAAGAAATATGAAAAATCCATGGGGATATGAAAAACACAAAGGCCTGGAGGAAATCACCACGAACACAATATGGATTTGGGTTTTTTTTCTCAACAAATGTGGATTTAATGGGAAAAATTATAATTACAAAAAGGCAAACATTCACATGCAGCAGTACAAGTAAAGTCAAAATTCAGGTCCATTGAAACAGGTGGATAAATAACAAAGGACATTGCACGTACAGCAGAAGGCAGTGGAGCAATCTAACTCATCCCTCATAGCCCAATATGCGGACAATGCCACATAGATACAGACATACAGACATGGACACACAAAGCAACGCAAATATACACACAGACAGGAACCATACAGACTCACACAGATACAAAGACAAACAGATACACACCCAGACGCACGAAGACACACATGAAGACAGAGACATAGACACACACATATGCAGGTAGACACTAATACACACAAAATACAAAAACACACGGATACACATATACCCACACATGGACACAAACAAAGATCCCCCGTATAGCCTGTAACAAACTGTTGTGACAAGTGCTGTTAGCGAGCACCTATAAAGGCCGCCACATTATAGGTAGGTGACCAGCACCAAGCCCGGCCGCCTTTGTCTCCCTAGTGGCGATGTTTACCCACCACACCAGGTACTCATTTGAGGCTGAGTCGACCACATAGACACACCACACTTGTACATACAGGCAGGCAAACACACACAGACATATACAAGCTGAAACAAAGAGACACACACGTACAGAGGCACATACGTGCACACAAAAAGAGTGGTATCTGAAAAGAGACGCTCCACCGTAGCCGCGACAAACGAGATACGCCGGCTTAGTTACCTACAGAAGCAGACAAAGACACACACACACAGATAGACCCGAAGACACACACAGACAGACACGAACACACACACAGATAGACACACTGACACACACACAGATAGACACGAAGACACACAAAGACAGACACACTGACACACACGCAGATAGACACACTGACACACACACAGATAGACAGACAGACACGAAGACACACACAGACAGACACACTGACACACTGATACACACACACACAGACAGACACACTGACACACTGACACACGCAGATAGACACACTGACACACACACAGATAGACACACTGACACACACAGACAGACACACTGACACACATACAGATAGACACACTGACACACACAGATACACAGACAGACACACTGACACACACACAGATAGACACACTGACGCACACGCAGATAAACACACTGACACACTAACACACACAGATAGACAAACAGACACGAAGACACACACACAGACAGACTGACACACACACAGATAGACAGACAGACACACAGACAGACACACACACACAGATAGACAGATAGACACGAAGACACACACACACAGACAGACACGAACACAGATAGACACACTGACACACACACAGATAGACACACAGACACGAAGACACACAGACAGACAGACTGACACACACACAGATAGACAGACAGACACACAGACAGACACAATGACACACACAGATAGACAGATAGACACGAAGACGCACACACAGACAGACACGAACACAGATAGACACACTGACACACACACAGATAGACAGAAAGACACGAAGACACACAGACAGATACACACACAGATAGACAGACAGACACAAACAGACAGACACATTGACACACAGACAGACAGACAGACACACTGACACACACACAGACAGACAGACACACTGACACACACAGACAGACACACTGACACACACACAGATAGACAGACAGTCACGAAAACACACAGACACACACACTGACACACACAGATAGACAGACAGACACGAAGACACACTGACACACAGACAGACACACTGACACACACAGATAGACAGACAGACACGAATACACACTGACACACACACACAGACACACACACAGATAGACAGACAGACACGAAGACACACTGACACACACACACTGACACACACACAGACACACTGACACACACAGACAGACACACACACAGATAGACAGACAGACACGAAGACCCACAGACAGACACACTGACACATACACAGACAGACAGACACGAAGACACACTGACACACACACTGACACACTGACACACACACACACCGGTTAGCAGGTAGGCGAACGGAGACGCACAGATGTAGGCGCGACAACGGGGAGACACAACGCCGGTTCGGTTACCCACAGAGGCAGACACGAGAGAGACACACGGACACACGGACACACATGAGACATTTCACAGACACGAGACATTGCACAGCCACGGATACGTACAGAAACGCCGGTCACTGACGAGAGAGAGAGAAGCACAGATGTAGGCGCGACAGAGAGGAGAGATACCACGACTTGGTTACCTACAGGAGCACACACAAATCCACACGTTCAGCCTCTTTGCATTCATGGCAGTCGCTGGCCGCATCGGACCAGGGTTGCTATGGAAACGAACGAGCAGGCAGGCTCCGTTTCCCCTTCTCCCTCTCTCCTTTTGCTCTCTCTCTCTCGCTCTCTTCCCTCTCTGTTTGTACTGCCGCTTCGTTCCTGCTCACCCCACCGCCCCCCACCCCCAACGCCCGTCCGCCGGTCGCTCAGCCGGTGTGGAGGAAGACGACGGCGAGACAACGCCCTCCTTGAGCCGTGGCCTCCTCAACAAAGTGTCCGGGAATCCTCATCCCCGCGATCTCCCCCGGCCACCAACACCACCGCCAACAACATCACCGTCCACGGATCCAGCACCCTCCAGCAGGGGTGTCCTGCACTCATCCTCGCGCTCTCCCTCCTACTCCCCCTCTCTCCTTGTTTCCCTAAATCACCCCCTCTCTCTTCCTCCCTCCCTTCGCCCGCCCTCCCTCTCCAGCAGTCCTGCCTCTCTCCTCGCCCCTCCGTCTCCTCCCTCACTCGCCCACCTACGAATCCACCAACCCACCATCGCATCCACCTATCCACACGGCCATCAAGCTTACCGGCAGACCTTCCTGTCCACTCACTGAGCCATCCACCCAACTTCTTACTCACCCATCCCACCCAAGTGACAACGCATCCCACACATTCACCCACCCACCCGAGCCATCAAACCTACCGACAACCCACCTCCCACTTACCCGCATCCACTCACCCACCCATCTCCACATCTATCCCATCCACTACTAATGAACCCACCCACCAAACCCATCCACCGACCCACCCACCTACCCAGCCCACCCACCCACCAACCTACCCACCCACCCACCTACCCACCCACCCACCAATCCACCCACCCACCTACCCAGCCCACCCACCCACCTACCAACCAATCCACCCACCCACCTACCAACCAATCCACCCACCCACCTACCAACCCACCCACCCACCACCTACCAGCACGCCGCGCACTCGCAATCCGCAACATCACTTATCGCCTCGTTTTGAACAATGACTCTGAGCAATGGACACGCGCACGCGCCGCAGAGCAAGCTCGTGGTCCCGTGTCGCCGTACGCACGCTTTGGAGGGGGTGGGGGGGCTGTTAGCGAGCACCTATTAAGGCACGCAGGCCACGTTTGGGGCTGGGTGAGGCTTATCAACCACGCCTGGCCGCCTTTGTCTCCCCAACGCACCAAGGTACACGTTTTTTTTTGCAAAAATCATTGCCAAATCATTTCCAACACGACGAATGCCGATTACGTCTTCCTCTTGATAATTGAAATATAACATTGCACAATTCGGAATAATAGTACACTTTTTTTTGTTTGTGTCATATACATTTTTTTCCAATACAGCACTATTTTATTGAAGGCCGAGTCCAGCTAGAAGAGACGCAGGAGAACTTCAGATTTCAGATGCAGCTGCCAACTTGATGTCAGCCCTTTGGTTGGGGATCGAACCCAGGTTTACCGAACTCGAAACCCTGGACCACCCCGCTCCAACGCACATACACACACACACGTCCCACATACAACATGTGTGTACGTTATATGATCGACAAAGCAGCGAGCCTACAATTTACGCACACACGTGTATACAAAAACAAAGATGTCCCATATAGCCTTTAACAGACTCGTGAGCTAAGTGCTGTTAACTAGCACGCGATGGGGTGGGTTTACCAGCACCACGCTCGGCCGCCTTTGTCTCCCCAGTGTTGGTGTCGATACACCGCACCAGGTACTCATTTATAAGGCTGAGTCAACCTACGGGAAGGTTTAGATATTCGTCTTTGATGTTGGGCGGGAATCGAACTCTCGTTTTCGGGGTTCGTAGCGCAGTGCGCTACGAACCGCTGCGCCACCGCTCTCAACCACACACACGTCTCCGCTGTGTAGGATGTTTAAGACTGCTGAGACAAGTGCTTTAGCGGGGACTTATTCAGGCCAGCACAGCACACGAAGTGGCGGCGGCCGGGGGTTGGGTGGGGTGCGGTTGAGTCAATCACCACGCCCGGCCGCCTTTGTCTCCCTGCGCTCACGTTCACACATATCGCTTTCGGCACCGGCTCATTAATTCACCACTGACGTTTAAGCCGTGGGCACGGGGAATCGAACTCAGACGGGCACGTGCTCAGACGCAGAGAATAGAGCGGAGACTCCACGTCCTCCCACCCCCCGGCACCACCACCACCACCCTACCCATCCTTGCCCCTACAAGCGGCACGCGTGGTGGTGTTACGCGCCACTGACGCTCCCTCCAACCTCCCTCTTGTCAAACCCCTCCACCCCTCTTCCATCGGAAATCCCCCCCCCATCCTCCTCCTCCCTTCTCCTCCTCCCTTCTCCCAGCGGTGACGCTGGGCAGAAGCAAATAAAGCAAAAGCCAAAAGGGCCGCAAGTAGCGCAAGGGGAACCGACTTCTGCGACGTGCGCTGACAATTGCTCTGGACTCGTACGGAGCAGTTAACCCGGATTAATGAATATATATGGGTTATCCAAAGATCAGCTCTAATTCAAATCCTAATACTGTACCGTAAAAGCGAATTACTTATCAGTGGAGCTAATTGATCGATCTCATCCATATCTTGTCTGTATCTCTTGTCTCTCATCTGTCTCCCGTCTATAATTTTCTCATCTAGCTTCATCGTTCGTCTCATTTGTACGCTATGCCCTCTCGTCTGCCTAATATTGTATCTACATTTAGATCATTTCACTTACATCTCTACCTCATCTGCATCTTCCTTGTTATCTTAAACCCAGAATCTTCTCACGTCTACCGACATCTCTCTCGTTTCACTACATCTCTGCTCAATCTCTTCCTGTCATCTCACTCGGACTTTATAAATCGACATCCCCACCCAATGGAGCCTCCTTACTCTCCTCTCCACCACCAACCACCGCTCCCACCACTCCGACGACCACCCCTGCCTCTTGTAGGCGGAGCAGAGGAGAGAGAGAAGCCCCCACGCGTTCGTATTAAACACGCCGAGCACGGCTCGCTCAACACGCCCGCGGCATACCGAGTTCGTTCCGTCTGGAATTCCGCTCAATGCTTTTTGTTGTTGTTGTCTTATTTCCCACCCATCCACCCCACCGCACCCCGCACAACGAATTTTTAAAAATAAAAAAATGTGTCATTCTTAGATATCGTGCATCATCATCGTCGTATGCATGTGAATCAACATTCACGTTCCACCTTCTTAAAACCCTACCGCGGTATTTTAACCCCGCAACCACAAAGCGTAAAAAAGAGAGACACTGTCTCCTGTGTATATATATAATACACGGTGGTGATACACTCGTGTGATGTTGAATTGGCAGTGGGTTGATAAGCATTCACAACAACACACTCAACCCATTCGTCGCAAATAGCACCGTCTGCCCTAAAGAGAAACACTAATACAATAAATAGGGCGCCGTTGATTATTTAAAATCAGTCTTTAATCTTAGCAGTTAAAGGTATATTAAGGTAAAAAAACAGCACCTATGTAAATTAACTGCTGCGTGAAGGTCTCCTATCGGAACGTCTCCATACCGTGTCGGCCATTGGGTGCTGTTTAACCATACTTCACCATAAGCAGGTACAAACAATTCTAATATTTTCTCTTCAGCGCTGATGAGGCGATAATCTGTTAATCCATGCATAACGGTGTTCAAACATGTGCATGACTTTTGCTGAATGCTGCGAGCTTATTCTTCCTCCTTCCAACCGAGGAGATGGAGCAATGAAATCAGCTTCGTGTGTAGAAGGCAGGCACCGTGCCAGGTGGATTATTTATATCGCAGAATGGGGAGGAGGCCTTCATCTAGCAGCGGATTGGTAAAAGGTTGGTTGATGGTGATGATTCATTAATTCATCGCGTCCACCAAAGGGGATCATTATTTAATATTATTCCCCTCGTATGAAATTCCATTAAATAAAGACACGTGGGCACCATGTGCAGTCATAATATATTTTTTTTCTTATGTAAGTGAGTGTGTGATCTGCCACTGGCATCCCACACATAATGGTCAGGGAGACACGAAGCGTGTTGCACATCCAATAGGAACATCGTATACACGAGAGATCCATTTTGGACTTATGTAATATTTAACAAAAAAATATTCTATTTTTGTAATTATTATTCAACCAATGAGTAAATGACCAGATGAAATAACACTTGCAAACATATTGCAACAAGAGAAAATGGGTAAACATAACTAGCTAGGACACTTATGGAAAATATTATTGATAATTAGTAAGGTTTCCTTCGTAAAACAAACTCAAGACACTCATCAACAACACTGCCTTAAAATGTAGAATCACCAAATAATTAGCTTAATTCGTAAGGCTTTACTTGTCGGTTAAAATAAATGCAGTAGCCCTTTCACAATGAGCTTATGCATGAAGGCATCACTGCGCCATTGTCGGTCATGGGGGGAGGTTTTCTAAAAGGGGGTGGTGCCACTTTCACCAACACGCACTTATCCCGCGCGGTGAAGTATGGCCAAATAGCTCCCGTGACCTACACACGGTGTGGGGAGGCCCTCATCCAGCAGTGCGCGGTTGGCTACGTACGATGCGAAATAAGTTCTACATACATACAAAGTGCTGTACAAGATCATACATTGTTATTTAACCCTCAGGTGAACTCGAGACTCCATATGGAGTCATGGAGCTATCGTTCACCCTCCCAACGATGAGATTGTCACCAATCAGGGGCACAATTCGATGCCAAAATGTATTTTTTAATCTGAAACTTACCGTTTTGTTAATTAGTAACAATTTCCAACTAAGATTGAGAGCGTTTATGCATCGACTCTGTCTGTCAGTAACGGGGGAGGATGGGGGACACACACCAACTCTCGTAAAGATGGTCAATATGAGCCAAACTTTAGTATAAATCTGTGATGCTATTTGGGACTCACCTTGGAAAGAAAACAGCCACATTGATCAAAGGGTTGCCCATGCCCTCCCAGGTATAGCCTCTATTTTGAACCCCGGTTGTCTCACCAGGGCCTTCTGAATGTACGGTTTCCTGTATACCCGGAGCGAGAGCTGCCGTTACTACCACTAATTACATTCTTTCGAGGAAAAGTGCACATTGGAAAGCATTACAGAATCCAAGCGCATCGCATGGTTTTTCTTCATTGCTTTCTATCTCGCAGAATGTACCGTTTGGCTCCACAGCCTAAATATAGCATCGCGCATAGCAGTTGCTTATCATTTGTATAAACCGAAGCTTGTTGTGAGCCTCAAAAGTCGATTTGAGTCCATCCATCGATGCCTCGTTAGGCCCTAATGTTGAGATCACGCACGCATACTTTTTTTCACGTAACACTGATTATTGTGTTACGGTCCTACAGAAAAAGCTTTGACCTTACAGGACTGTAATTCAAGAGC